GAGACCACTAGCACTAAATGAAAACTTCCCTTACTCTTTCATTCAAATGCAGCTGTGACAAGGCAGAAGCAGTCATTGCACAGCCACATAGCATAGAAGAACATCATGTGGGCTACCCACATTGTTGTTGCCTTCCCCATATTACAATCCAGGGCCTTACGTGGGTTTCTTCACGCATCTCCCTGTGCTACCTTTGCAGACAACAGCTCCCTTTCCCTCCCCGGACTCAGGGAGTGGTGCTGGCCGGCCCTGCTCTCTGCCATGGCAAGAGGGAGCCTCAAGTGGAGAGCATGAGGGGGTTGGTGGCTTCAGAGCTCCTCAAATGAAGCAGCTCTATTTCTATAGCAAATAACAAACAACACCAATAAGCAGCGTTAGACAAAAAGATAGAAAGTGCTTTGGGTGCCACAGGCTCAGGATGAAAGGCATTGAGGGAGCTGTGGGGAGTGTGGGAGGGGGTTAAGGGGAAAAGCTGATCTCATTGCATCCCAACCAGACAACATCAGGCAGGAAACAGATGTGCAAGAAACCACAGAGGGGTACAGCAACAGCAGAATTAACTCTCCAGCAAATAGGGAAAGCTAGGACACGCACAGCTGACCTGCACCCTGAGAACAAGGTGTCTAATCTGAGATTTGGCTTTTTGCAGCCCTGGTAGCACCTCCTATCCCAAAATTTATACACTTTCATACTAAAAATGAAGGAAATGATTCAGCCTTTCTCCAAGTCCTACCTGGATCTAAGCAAATGAAGCAAAGGCAGGCCTGAATAGGTAGCGGTTCCTATGCAAAAGGCCGGGTTATCTTTTATCAGCACAAGCAAATTTTTATAGATGCTGTGTCTATTTCCTTTTTAAAAAATTGAAGTTGTATCTGGCTGTGTTCCTGAAATCCCAGTCTGAATCTCCCACAGTTAACAGTACTGAGAATATTAAACTCCATTTCGACTTAGTCCCTCTCACTTTAACAGCTTTGACTTTTCCAGCCCTCTCTTACAACACTTCTGTGATATAACCAGAATCAAGACTACTCTTTGTGACTGTTTTCTTAGGCAGTTCAGACTGTCCTGCTCCAACTAAGGTTTGTGCACACCCTTGAGTCTTGTATTCTCTGTTGGCCCATCTGTCACTAGAAAATTATACTGTTGGTATTACAGGAACTGGGGGCCTGATGTGCAGCTCCCATTGACTTCAGTAGAGGCACTATGTGCTTTTCTCCTCTGGAAATCAGGCTGGTTATCAAGAGGCCAAAATATGGCTCTAATGTTAATCCTTCAGGGCTAATATCTCTTGGCTCCATTGTACCCGTACAACACAAAGTTTGACAGAGGAAAATGTTTTAGTAGAGGAAATTAGCGCTAACTTCCTCCTGCATGGGTGCCTATCCATGCTCAAAGCCTGACACTGCTTTCTAGTGAAGCTCTGACACTCCAAAAGATCACTTCCCTCTGTCTGTGGATTCAGTGCTGGCAGCAACAGAAGAGGGACGATGTGAAATCAGGCAGCTTTTACTCATTGGTATTGCCAGCCACCATTCTTTTATGTATTATGTGAGCTTTTCCTCAAATCCACCGCTATTAAAGTCATTGTTTGAGAATTTTAGTGGGAAGGAAGAAAAGCTATTTTTTGGCCAAGTTTCTAGCCCTGTTGCCAGTAGAAAGACTTTAAAATGTAACTCAGATGCACACTGAAGTTTCAGAAAACAGAAAGCAGAAAAATAATTCAGCACTGATTTTTATTCTATCTCATGATTTTTGTGGCCTGAGTCATGATTTTAAATGCTTGGGAGCACTGATAGCAGTCTGCCCCCATAAGGAGCATGACCAGTCTCTGTGTAGAGACTGCCAGCAGGAAAAGGCCAAGTAGGGTCAAATGTGGTAGTGACAGGAACTGACTTGAAATACAGTAAATTCGACACATCTGACCTTCGAACCAGCAACATCTGTCCATCACCACTGACCTGAAGAATCTGAAGAAGCAGATCAGATAAGACAGATCTGAAGAATCAACTTAGGGCTAAAGGCTTTGTATCACATTTTTAGTCTTCTGAGCTACCCCACTGTACCTGCTAAAGTCTTTTCATCTACACCACTCTTAAATACTTTGTAGTTTTGCCATGGCATTTATTGTAATATCATAAAGCTCTTTATAACAGACCCTTAGATACATCTGTCTCGTAAGGCAGACAGCAGGATCTCTTCACCCTTCTCTGAAACGCAGCCATCTCTGAAGCGGCCCAAAGCAAGTTATTAAACAGTTAAATGACAGGAGAGGAAATGCTGATACCTTAAGCAGAATATAATTCTCTCCACTGGAATTTGGCAACAACACAGGGACTAAGGTCCATGCAAAAAGCACAAGCTGCTCTCCAACAACCACAAGCAAGCATGTAGGGACTCAAATTGTGCATCTCCTCCACAAAGCACCACACAAGTAGTGCAGCACCCCCTAACTGTAACGGCCATGTACTAATCCAGAGGGAAAAAAGACAAATTGAATTGTCTACACCAGCCTTGGCCATCCCCTGTGCTCCCTTTGCCATCCCCAGCACCAGCAAAGCAGGTCTCTGCTTCTCATCACCCGTGCGAGCATGCAGGACCAGTCACACAAAGCAACGCTGCAGGCTGGCGTAAAGCAGACCTGAGCATGAAAGCACAACCAATCTGACTTGTGTCCTGCCTGTCCTACAGCCTCCTCTTCATTTCCAGTTAACCTTTCTGGGTGCACTTTAAAACTTGTTTTCACAAAAGTCCACAACAAAACGTTTTCTGGACAGCAGCCAAAGTGCTGTCCCCCTCCTCATCACTCCCAGATACCATGAAGAGTCTTACATCTTCATTGCTTCCAAGTAGGGAATAACCAGAGCCTGCGTCCCACCAACTAAATGCATAGTACAACCAAATGTAGAGAGAAAGTTATTGCTTTACATCGCTACCAAAGCCCCTGCTTGCAGGAGCGCTGGCTTATCACTGGAAATAATTCTTAGCAGGACAATTCAACTATCCCCAAATCAACCATTTATCACACCCTAAATGCTCTTCTAATTTTGTTTCATAGTTACAGGTTGCAAGTTTGTGATGTCCTGGTGACATTTGAACCTTCATTTCTTCCCGAGACGTCACTTTGGCATATTTGGTCACTTTCCTATTGATCCTGAGAGCCCTGCTAGCAAAAAAGATCAGCATCTCTAATTCTGTCACTTCTTCTCTCCTTCTCTCCCTATCCTAACGAATTGAATTGTACCAATCTAACTTACACCCTTCCCAATAAACTCATAACAATTGAGTCTTTCATTTCTGGATCCCACAGCACTGGGCAATGGGATGTGCTATTCAGCAAATAGCAGTACTGCATAAAGGGAGAGGAACTTCATATTCTCCCCCACTGCTCCTCAGGACAGAAAGACAAGTAGGTTGGAACCGTCAGCCATCCCAGAAATGAGACTTGAGACAATGTCCTTCTTTCTTGTGCCCAAAAAACTATTTAAAAAAAAACATAAGATTTCGGATAATAAATTTTGCTGTTCTGGCCTAATTTCAACTGCAGTAACTGTGTTTCTCCCTTTAAAATCCCCCTTGCTGCTTCAACTGAATATATTGTCTGCGTCTGCTTCCCCTGTGTTGTTTTTCAGTGTTCCTGTAAACAGCTGTAAATTGTTTGTCCACCCCAGCAGCTCAGCTAGCACTGGATGGAATTTATCTATCTGTGCCTCGCGCTGGCAAAGTGGTACCAGTTCATTAAGTTTGTTATTTCTGCTATTTCAATTCAATTGCTGTTAAGGGCTATATAAGTTAAAAGATACAGTAATTGTTACAGATGACTGACAATGAAATTGAATTTCCCCCAGACCTAAATAAATGCACACATATAACATTTTAGCTTAGTGATATATGCACTGCCCTCCTCACTGTGCAACGGAAAGGACTACTGTTATGTAGTCCATCCCTCTGCCAGTGCAGTTCCACGCTGTACTTCATCAGCCATGCTCATGAGCAAATGAAAGACCTGATTGTACAGCCCTGCCCGTTACGAAGCTGACATTGCTGCTAGAAGCCTTTTTTCTTTGGAGTAGCTTGACATTGGTAAAAGTTAGTTAATTCAAACTGGAACATAATGCTCACATCAGGGATGGTAACAGGCATGTATTTATTTTTCCTCTTGCTAAACTGCAGGTCTTTCTGTATGCCAAACTCTCAACTGCTTCTCTCATCATCCAACCCTCTTTAAGAAAAATCATTCTGCTCCTTCCCTCATCCAGGACTGACCATTTTACGCTCAGGACCCTCTGATCTTATTGCAGTTACCTCTTCTCTGAGCTACCATATTCTCATCCAATGTTGACTTACATGGAGGTCAGGGAGAGGAGGAGAGGAGAGAAAGGTAACAGGCAGAGTAGTGAAAATATTAGCTCAGCTGCCCCCTACACCTCACACCCATCCCTACTCCACCCCACCCCCCAGTCTCTATCCTGCCTCCATCCAGCAGCGAAAGGACTATATGGGAAGTGTAGTGGAGTTCAGGAGGGGCAGATGGGACGTTCCCAGTTCCTCTCTATAGCCCTGCAACACTCTAGTCTCATGGACTTTGGAAGGACTTCCAAGTCCGGGAGGAGGCAACACTAAGCGCAGTCCTGATTTCCGAACCTAGCTCCCTAAAAGCCTGGTACCCACTTCGAGGGCCAGGCGGATGGGAGAGGGCGTCACAACATACAGCTGACCACCTCTGTCCACATTTAGGCATACCCAGAGCCCCAGCCCAATCCTTTCCCCACACACAGCGCTACTCATGCAGGGGTCATGCAGACGCGTCACCAAAGCAATCGTCCGATTGTTCATTCATTGTGAGCAACTGGGCAGTGACTCCACTTCCCAGGGACAAACCAGCTCCAGGTTGTCTAGCCCTCAGCCTTGGGAAAGGTCTGGTTCACAGTCCTACCAGTTAAAAAAGGGGGGACGCGCGCTGTGCTCCTCTGCTACCAGAGTGAGAATAAAGAGGCATTTACCATCCTGCCCAGAGCTCTCCAGATACTCCGTCAGGTCGCAGCCGAACGCGCTCGCGGCTCCCTTCCTCTTGAGTTTCTGCTTGGCTCCCTTGTTCTTCATGAGGTTAGTCCCAAAAGAGGTTTGCCCCCCTCCTGCCTTGCCCCCCTCCCCCCGGCCTCACGCTGGGCGACAAAAATCTTGCTCTTCTCAGACCACCGCCCGTGTCCCGCTCCCAGGGAGTAACATCGAGGGTCCCGTACAGCGTCCAGCTGGAGAAGTAAACATTAATCCCCACCAGATGTTGGGCTGCTCCTGTGGCAGAGGAAGGTCAGGGCGAGAGGAGGCTCCCCAGCCAGCGGCAACAGCGATCATAGCCCGAGCCCGGAAGGGTTCTCATCAGAGGGAAGTGGGTGGTGGACGGGTGCCCACATCGGAGCTGGCAAGTTGGGGGCAGGCGATGGTGGAGGGGATGTCTTTCCCTCAGCACGGTCCCGGGACCCTCCGTGGCCACCTTCTGGGTTTTGTCAGCCGGGCTGTCTCCACTTCCAGCAGAAAGCGTCCCAGTCTGGTCTTCCTTCTCTCAGCTTTTGGAGGAGACTGGAAGTTCAAACGGACTAATGAAAAGGGACCGGGGAAGAGTCTGCACAAGGCTCCTCTTTGGCTCCCCCCCTTCCCCTCCTCCTGCCTTTGGACAGTTATAGAGGAATGAGAAACCAGCTTCCTGTTCTGACTCCCGCTCGCTCACACTCTGCTTTCCCCCGTTTTACAAATCCTAGGATTATCCAGCTCAAAAAAATGCTGAAAGGAAGTTAGCTGAGGAGGGGGGGCGGGCAGAGGACAGTTTTTGGCAGTAAAGTGCATGTGTGTGTGTGCGAGAGGCTGAAGGAAGGCGGAGAGAGGAGTTGGGGGACGGGGATGGGGACGGGGAGGCGGGGAGGGGGGGGAGGAAGAGGGAAAGCCTGTCCTGACAGTCGACAGATAACGGACTGCCTGAAAGGAAATCACAGCAAGCCGAACCGCAGCCCGCGAGGCGGTCAGGCCCTTCCTGCGCTACCGAGGCTCAGCTCTGCAAAGGCCTGAGGAGGGGCCGGTGAGGAGGAGAGAGACCAGGAGCCACTCCAGTAAATCTGCGGGGAGGGGGGGGAGGAAGAGGGAAAGCCTGTCCTGACAGTCGACAGATAACGGACTGCCTGAAAGGAAATCACAGCAAGCCGAACCGCAGCCCGCGAGGCGGTCAGGCCCTTCCTGCGCTACCGAGGCTCAGCTCTGCAAAGGCCTGAGGAGGGGCCGGTGAGGAGGAGAGAGACCAGGAGCCACTCCAGTAAATCTCTGCCTCCACTCATCCAGTCCCTTCATTGCAAGGCGCCTGCCTTCCTGCCCTTGAACCTGGCTCTGTCACTTCAGGGTTTGCCTTCCTCTCCAGAGGCACAGGCTGGAGCTGCCGAAACCAAGAAGAGGGGGGCAGAAAGTTGGGAAACTGGAGAGGGGGGAAGGAGGGAAACCTTCAGCTGCCTTCTACCCAGCTCCCCAGCAAGCAGAAACAGATGCCGTGCAGGCATCTAAGTTCACGTCCTTTCGAGTCAGCTCCCAAAAAAAAGGCTCCCCTTGACTGACCAAGGGGTTTAAAGACAAGGAACAGAAATCACCCAGTAGCGGCAAGAAGGGGAATGGGACGGGTCCACCCTCGAACCCTGAGTCTTGCCATCCCGCGCCAACACCTTTCTAGTCTAACCTTCAGTACATGCACATCTCTGCCCCTAAGAGCAGTCACCTGCACTTTCTCCACATTTTCTGTCCCAGAAACACAACCTCTTTACACGACTGGGTATGCTGGTGGGTCGCATGCTTCACCTAGGGAGGCAAAATTAACTCCACTAAGGCTTCACTGCCTCCTCTTGCTCCATGCTGAATATAACTGTATGGGTCTGGGTGAAAAATAAACAAACAAATGAAAAACAGGAAATCACAGCTTTTCATCAAAAATCTGACCAAAGATGGGGAGAGTAGGTTTTGTTTGGAGGAAAACTGGCCAGGAAATGAGGCAAAGGACTCCCTTAACCCACCTCCTTCCTCAGCCTTGGGCTCTGCACCCTGACGCAGCATAGAAACCCCATCTCCTCCCACAAACCTCTGCAAACTCACTACCTCACCCCTTTATTTTGACAGAGATATGTTTTTCAGAGAAATCAAGCCTCCCACTGTGAGCCGACTGCTGCCAAAAGCCATTCAGGTTCTGTCTGTTGGTATGGTGATTTTTTTTTTTCCCCCTCAAAAGTGTTGGATGTTCTCACTTCACATACAGGAAAAAAACACCAAGAGCCCTAGTGAAGGACCTTGAGCAATTATAACTCCTATTGTGCAGTTTATCACTGTAATTACCATCATTATCCCCATTTTACAGCTTGCTGGCTGACGGGTTGAGGGGAAAATGATTTGCAGAAGGGTGCCAGAGAGATGTCTGACCTGTCGGCTCCCAGCCTCCTGCTCCCGCTCCCAGGCTAAGGGAGGATACTGAACCCTCACCACTAGGCTGGTGGTTGTTCTCAGGGACCCTCAGTGCTCATGAAACACTTAAAACTTCCTTGAATTTATTCTGGGCTTCTCACAGCACCTTGATGTTGAGTCGGCACGCGGGATCCCTCCCTGTACCGGCGTGCCGCCAAACCCATCGCGTGCCGCAGCCCATCCTGCCTGCCTGCCAAGGGGCAGGCTTCAAACAGGGCAGACAGACAACAGGGCGCTCAGACCTGAATGTCTCACCAGGCTGTCCTCCAGCTGCCCAGGGGGGCTGCCTGCCTTCTGTAGGAAGAGATAGGCTTCTCCTGGCCCTCTCAGGGAAGAGGCATGTCCTCCCACACACGCCAGCCCTCTCCAGCAGGACTGAGCCCCAGCACCGGACCAGTGAGGGGGGGCCTGCTTCACCGCTGCCAGTAACCGCACCATCTTTTTCAAAGTCCCGAACTCCTCTGTGCAGACAGTTCCTCCCCTCCATGAACAAAACAGAAGATTTAAATTCCTCATGCTGGTCTCCTCCATCACCCTACACCAGATAGCATCACTAACAGAGTCTGTGTCCACAGCCCTCCCCTGTCCCCTCTGTCTGGTGACCCACTGTACCACACTCCTGCCCTCACCCTCCTTAGATACAGTTTCTCCTCTCATCCCTTGCAAGCCTACCCAAACAGGATATCTTCAACAGAGGATGGCTCCTTTAAAAAAAACCAAAAAAGATAAAGATCAATAACTAAAATCAACCCCTGCAGGCATATGGGCTTCCTCACGTCACCATTGAGGGAGCTATGGCCCCAGGTGCAGCGGGGAGTGCCGTGGCATGGCACCATGCAGCATGGGCCACCTCCCCTCCCTTGCACAGCCCTGCTCCAAGGGGCCTCAGTGGCCCATGGGCCAGCCCGCTGGGTCAGCCCGTCACCCTTGCCCCTTGGCATTTCTCACAGGCTGGTAGGCATTTTCAGCTGAAAGCACCACTTCTTGGAGTCAGCTCTGTGGTGGTTCCCTGCAGCAGCATTTTTTGGGAGCCATGGTGGTGGG